TGCGCGTGGAAGCATTGCAAATGCAATGAATGCATCCTATTCAGATGTAGTGAAAATAGTGCAATTAAGGAAATTATTAATAATAAACAAGAAATTGATTTATGTAATAAATCATTAAGTGTAAAAAAGAGTATCGTCAATAAAGTGTCAAAAAGTAAAGGTATTATAAACGTCAAAACAGACGGAAAGAAGGAAATTAATTCAGAAATATTAAAAAACTCGATTAGAACGACAGAAAATTTTAAAACAATAAAAAATTATAATAAAATTACTTCGAAGAGAAAGGTAAAAAATTGGCATGAATGTATGGAAGCAGACACAGATGATGAAACAAATTCTATTAACGATTGTGATCATATAATTAAAAATACTAATTTAAATGAAATTGATAATGAAATGGTGAATAAAACAGATACGAGTAATATGGAGCAATGTGAACAATTGTCCGAAAATAATCAGAATGTTGATAGTATTCAAGAAAAAGTTCTGAAAATTTCCCCAAATAAATATAAAAATTTGAAATATTCCGAAAATGATAACGGGCCATATTCTATTTATGTGGAATCCTTGAGCAATAACAGTAGTAATTTAAAACTAGTGGGGTGAATGGCATCGTGCCTTAAGGCAAATTGCAGGAACTTCCCATACCGTAACGAAATGTTGGAGGAATACTGAATGTTTTCAAATAGATTATTATTAATATTGTAACATTGTCTAATATTTATAAGAATTATATAAACTGAATTGCAAAGTTGAAATTATTTGTTTAAGGTATATTAGAACTATAGTCGGAATTAAAAATAAAATCTGAATTATTTTCGATATACAAAAAAAAATTTTTTGAATAAAAAAAGTTGAAACAAATTTTTTTTTTCCAAAATCAATTATTTTGTTAAGACAAGCAGAAAGTTCTTTGAATCAGTTAAATGGGACGCTTAGTTCTCTCGAAAACTGCAATTTTTTACTTAATTAGCTCCGTATCTTCAAAATGACTGGAACTTTGCCAAAAACTAATAAACACTTCTCCTAATCATTACTAATTGATCATTTTTAGATCATAGATGTCTCGCATATGAAATTAAGATTGAAACCTTTATTTCGAAGATTTATATCCGGAATGTACATTAGTGTTAATTACACATTCCGAGATACATGAAATTATTTGTACCTGCAAGGCAACAATAATGCTTTCGTTTCTTATTATTTATTATTTAAAAAGGTTATTTTAAAACTGTGATGTCAGTTGTATGTAAATTTACAAATATACCTTTTACACTGGCTTATAGACATCAAGCTCGTTTATGTTCAAAACTTAATTCATTTCCTCTAACACCCAGTAAAATTTTTTTGTACCAAGGTGACACTGTGGCTCTCAGAAAAACAGTACCACTGGTAAATGTTCAACATGCTGATCTTATTAACAGTTTCATAATAGAACAAGAACGACCTACATGCTTATTGCCCAAAATCAAAGTTTATGGTTACTCAACTAAAAGTATTGTGTTATTAGAGTGTTCTGACAATACTACAATGCCAGGTTTTGAGGAAATTTTCATCTGTAATGGTAAAAAATTGCTTTTGATATCAGTATTATCAACACAAATTTATGAAGCAAAATTAAATGCATATCATGTACTTCTTTCAGAAATCTATCATTGATATTGAAGAATTCGTTTTTGCAATAAATAAACAATTTTTTTTTTTGAATTATCATGAACATGTAAAATGTTATGGTTGAAAGTGATAATGAATTTATGTGTTTATATTAAAATTGCTGCTATATATGCATTGTAATACTTTGTCAAAAGTATTATATCGGCAATATAATACTTTTGACATTAATTATTGATTCTAGTATTAATCATTTAATATATATTTTGATAATCTAGTGATCTTATGGATACATAATCATAAAAAATATGTAATCCAAAAACAATTAATGTCTGCATTTGAAGATAATCGACCCTCAAAGGAGCGTTAGGACACGAATTCAACGAGTGAGTGATTTTTTACAATATCTCAACCTGAAGTTTTCTGAGTTTTTCGTACCCGGTCAAAATATCTGTGTTGATGAATCAGTTGTAAAATTCAAAGAACAGATAAGTTTTATAGCTTATAATACAAATAAGCCCACCAAAATGGGGCATAAGAATATACGTTTTAGCGGATTCCGAAACAGAATTATAGAACATTATGGAAGTATCACATCAAAAAGTCTGATAAAATCGAATTTACATGCCACCTCCCGTATTCCATTAAGTATTCAACAACTTATTGACTAATGTACCAGGCGCACGGATACCATATGTTTACGGATAGATATTACACAAGTTTGCCATTGGCCGAGAAATTGTTGAAACTAAAATGCTATTTAACAGGTACATTGAAAATAAATAGAAAGGGAATACCGGATCCGATCAAAAAGCCCAGATTTTCTGAAAATAAATGTATTTCATACAAAAATGCGACGACGATGTTATCGTCTTGGAAGGACAAAAGAGTAGTTACCCTATTGAGTACTAGCGATAGAGTGCCGGATTTATTAACAAAAAAAAGCTTTTTCAGAAAAGGCGAGCAACGTGATGTGATCAAACCCAAAGTAGTAGCGAATTACACCAATTCAATGGGCGGTGTTGATAGTTATTGTTTTCTTCGAAGATCCCTAAAGTGGTGACGGAAATGGTTTTTTTGGGGATTGGAAATGTCCAGTGTAAATTCATATATTTTATACAAAAGTCTGAAAAAAATAAAAATGAAAAACCATTATCTCACATACAGTTGTGTGAAGCGATTAGTCGACCAATTAGAAGGCGAGTTCCAAGAAGAGCGCGCAAGACCAACTTCATCGTCTAATATAAGGCTAAATAACAAATTACATTCCTTTTTTTCATTACATAACAAACAAGCTTTCATGACAGATATTCCGCTAATATACTCACGGAGTTGCTGGAGCGTCACATGCGTCGACCGCGCGTATTCCAAAGGGTTAAAATGTTATATATAACGTATATAACTAGAATATTAACTATATTTTAATTTCTATTAGATGCAATCGTGAACAAATTCAAGAAAATATTGAAACATCTAGGAATATAAATTTTCTATAAAATAATAAATAATCTATAAAATAAATAACAAATATTTAACAAGAAAAAGTTCTGAAAGTTTCCCAAAATAAATATAAAAATTTGAAATATTCCGAAAATGATAACGGGCCATATTCTATTTATGTGGAATCCTTGAGCAGAAACAGTAGTAATTTAAAACAAATGACAATAGGAAGACTAATATTTAAAAAAAATCTTCAATTTACAAAGCAATAGAAAGGAATCGCATAAAAATAACGGTTAATGACTACTAATAGCCAACTACTTAATTAACAATGATATATTTACCGAAAATAAATTAAAAACTTTTATACCAACACACTTGCTAATTAGGAAAGGGGTCATATATGATGTATTGTAGACTCTGACATAACAGAGGAAGAAATTATAGCCAATTTATATTCGGAATTACCCATATTGGAGGTAAAAAGAATTTATAAAAAAAATGATAATGAAAGCAAATCAAAACGGGCTTGCATTGTCACATTCAGAGGACAGAAACTGCCCGAGAAGGTACCAATATTTGCAGTAAAATGCAGGGTAGCTACCTACCAACAGAATGGTCCAGAATTTTGACTGTCAAAGGTATGGTCACGTGACTAACTAATACAAAAGCAAAGCTAGATGCAGTCATTGTTCAGAAGAACATAAATATAAAAACTGTACAAACAAACAAAATAAACCGATTTGTGCTCTGTTAACACTTCATTCCCAACCCTGGTATTATTATATTTTATTATCTTCATGCAGGATAGCGATAATAAACCCTCATCCCTTATTATATAATTTAAAACGATAAAATAATCCCTTTCATTGTTACGCATCCTGTCCCAAAATCGATCATCATATCAGTAATCCATTTTTCCTAGAATTTTCATCACCTGTCCCTAACTATATCATCCTTATATTTCCAAGAAACTCGCATTTACGCATACCCAGTTTTAATTCTAAGAATCATTTCAATAACCGACCAATACTTGATTGGTTGACAAATATAACAGCTACTGATTGGATCCAAAATTGTAAGAGAATGTCATTAATTCTACAAAATGGACCAATCAGAAAAATGTATAAAATTGTAAACTCTTTTTAATTTAGTATCAACTTAAATTTCACATAGTTAAGATCAGTTGTAAATTAACACTCAAATCTATAACATCTAATTCAAACATCTATAACTCTTAATATTTCAAATACAATAATTAAACATATATTTATCATCTTTTATTTTTATTATTCAATCGGTCTGATATAGCCAATAACTAAATATATCTGATCCTTCGACAAAGTGCAAGTGGTCATTAGAGTTCGGGAGCATCCAGATAGATCACGAACTTCTTAAACACTTTGAACCTATCTCAACAAATACTTTTTTGGCCATTCAAACCGAATGGTCAATTTTACTAAACATTTTTTGGTCCCCATCGAACCGGATCAACCAGTGAAAGTGAAGGAAATAATCTAAATCTAAAACCTAAATCCAAACCTAAAACATAGTGCACAGTGTAATTAGTGAAATCATCCTTTAACATAATACATTGCATCGCATGAAGATTAATCTAAAATCAAATTTAAACAACGATTATATCAACAACAATTCAAACAATTAAATCAAACTAACATCAACGTTAACAAGAAATCTCAGTGTAAGTGCGTTGTGTATTAACGTGAAACAACAAGAAGCATAATTATAGCACAATAAAGCTACAGCACATTATCAAGGAAACAACAGCTGAATCCAAACCAGCTTAATATCAAGACAAACAATTGAGGACACGGAATGCCGACAACACAAAGGTCAGACTAATTTTAAGCACTCCTTTTAATTCTATCCCTATACCCATTGTCTATACCTAACGTTTTTTAAAATTATTGTACTAGATCTGTGTTAATATGGATTCTTTAGAAAATTTAAATATCAAAAAAGAGTTTATGAAATTTCGTTTGACGCAAATCCATAGCTTTTGTAAAAGAATAAGAGAAAATGAGAGTAGCAAGTTAGATATATCAGAGCTTAAACAAATATTAGAAATACTAAAACCTTCTTTGGATACTTTTCAAAAATTATTAATTCAAATTGCAAATCATTTTGATGACGAAGAGTACATTGACTTTTTGATAGATACAGAATTTTACGATTTCAATGATACTTATACTAAATGCTGTGTAATTTTACGTACAACTATTAAAACATTTAAAACAGATCCTAGCTCAAATAGTGGCATTGGTGACAAATCATATCAAACAAACAATAATAAATTTGCTGTAATTAATTTACCTCATTTCGACGGTACAGATATTAACTGGTTACAGTTCTATAATTCATTCTATTCAATTCATATTGACCCAAATATTAGCAATTCTCAAAAATATTCTTACCTAAAATCTTGCTTGAAAGGCGAAGCAGGTAACATAATCGAATCTCTACCTGCTACCGCGGACAACTATATAAATGTTGGAAAATTGCTAAAATCGCGGTACGAAAGTAAAACTATTATAGTAAACAATCATACAAAAACATTAAACAACTATATTTCGATTCCATCCGAATCAATAACTTTCAATGAATCTAATAATAATAAATCTAAAAACGTTGCGCATCTTGAAACTATAAACGTTTTTAAATCACATACGGTAAAAAGAGGAACTACCTCGGTACTGTTATTAGATTCTAATAATCAAATAACAAAACAATTAACAAATGAGAATATTACTCAATATCCAAAAAGCAATGTTATTAAAAACGTCTTATGTAATCATAACTTATCAACTAAAGCTAATACAACAGAAGAACTAGTTTTAAATAAACAAAATCTAACAATAAACTTAAATCAAGCTGATTATAACGCTGAACATCTTGAACCTAAAAAAGACAATAAATCAAATACGGTAATAAGAGACACTACCTCATTACAATTATTAGAATTAAATAATCAGAATCCATGTCTCAATATCGGCAAATGAAACAATTAAGACGCTGGGCATGACATGGAATTCCATATCAGATTGCTTCAAATTTAATACTAGTAGTATCAAAATAAATAAAAATATTAGCAAAAGATCAATTTTAGCCGCAACAGCTCAAATATTCGACCCTATTGGGTTTCTATCGCCTTTTATAATAATACCCAAATACCGTCCGATATAGAAAATAAATGGAAATTATTTTGCAAAGATCTAAAATTTATTGATGATATAAATATCGACCGACATATGTTTTGTAAAGATCATGTAAACACAGAATTGCATGGCTTTGCAGATGCGTCCGAACGAGCTTATGGTGCATGCGTATATATACGATCAGTTAACAAAAATTCAAACTTTAAAATTCAACTCATTACTTCCAAATCTAGAGTAGCACCATTGCGTAACATAACACTGCCGCGACTTGAATTATGTGCAGCGCACTTATTAGCAAATCTTATACAAAAAATCAAAACAGCGTTAAACATCACCTTCGATAGGGAATTTTTTTGGAGCGATTCAACAGTTACTTTATCATGGATTAAATCTCCATCCTACCGTTGGAAAACCTTTGTTCCTAATAGGGTAGCCGATATCCAAACTAAAACTGATATCAATAACTGGTTGCATGTTAAATCACAAGACAATCCCGCTGACTTAATATCACGGGGAATTTTCGCGCGCGATTTAATAAATTCTTCATTATGGTGGAACGGTCCATCATGGCTACGATATCCAATAAAAATCGATCAGCATAATGACAACATACCTACAACAGATGAGGAAGGTCGTACTACTACCCTAATTTCCATTATTGACGAAACAAATGAATTATTTAATCGCTATTCCTCCATCACTAAACTGATTCGTGTCGTAGCTCATTGTTTACGTTTTTCTAACAATTGCAGACCAAAGAAAAAAGTGAGGGTACGCGGACCTTTACAAGTATGTGAACTGAATATTTCGCGTATGCTGTTAATAAAGCTATCTCAAAACGAAGCATTCAAAAGGGACATAAGTAATATAATAAAGAAAGGGTCGGTAGATAAAACTTCTAATTTAAAAACGTTAAATCCTTTTCTTGACGAAAACGGAATACTTCGCGTTGGAGGTCGCTTAAAAAACTCAAATATTGGCTATAGCAAGCGTCACCCAATAGTTTTGCCAAAAAAACACATATTAACAACGTTAATTGCAAAATATGAACACTTGAGACTATATCACTGCGGGTCTCAAATGTTGTTAAATACCTTGCGCAATAATTATTGGCCAATGGGGGGTAGAAATCTAATTAGAAACATAGTCAAAAATTGCATAACTTGTTTCAAAGTTAAACCAACTTCAATAAACCCATTAATGGGAAACTTACCAACACATCGAATAACCCCTCAAACGCCATTTTCGACATGTGGCGTCGATTACGGAGGCCCCATAATTTTAAGAGATCGCCGTACCAGAGGTTATAAAAAATATAAAGCATATATCTGTTTGTTTGTCTGTTTTGTCACCAAAGCTATTCACATTGAACTAGTATCCGATTTGACCGCGGAGTGTTTTTTAGCAGCTTTGAGACGATTCACTGCACGCCGCGGCAAACCTAGCGATATATTTTCGGACTATGGCACTAACTTCGTAGGTGCAAATTCTGAATTAAATGAATTATCTAAATTTTTACAAAATAAATCTATGAAATCTACCATTACAAACAATCTATCAATTGAGTCTATATCCTGGCATTACATTCCGGCAAATTCTCCTCACTTTGGGGGGCTTTGGGAGGCAGGCATTAAATCATGTAAAGCCCATTTAAAACACGTTCTTGGCAATGCATGCCTTACGTTCGAAGAATTTTACACAGTATTAACACAGATCGAAGCAATATTAAATTCAAGACCATTATCTCCATTAAGCTCTGATCCCAAGATTACAATCCTTTAACTCCCGGCCATTTTTTAATTGGCAAACCACCCACATCAATCCCAGATCCATGTGTGCTTGAAATTCCTGAGAATAGGCTGTCATGCTATCAGCGTCTTCAGATACTGACGCAACACTTTTGGAAGCGGTGGTACAAAGAATATATATCGGAACTACAAGTGAGAACAAAATGGCACGAATATTCATCAGAACTCATTAAAGTCGGTAATATGGTACTATTACGCGATGAAAATTTACCACCACTACGGTGGCGATTGGGTCGAATTATAACACTACATCCCGGAGAAGACGGCATCGTGCGAGTGGTAACAGTGAAAACAAACAATAGTTTAGTGAAACGTGCAGTATCAAGAATCTGTGTCTTACCAATTGACGATAAATAATTTGAAACAATAAAACAAACAAAGTGTTGTGAAGTGTAAACTATTAACAATCATTTGAAACATTTAGACAATTTAAAACCTTTAGTGAAGTGTCAATGATCAACAATCATTATAAACTTTTGGACAATTTTAAAGACTCTAGTAAAGTGTCCGTGAATAATTTATCATTAATTAATCTATTAGTAACAATATCATCACATGTCATGTGCTATTTCTAAATTTTCAAACATTATAATATTATTATAAGCAATGGCATAAAACTAGGATTGAGTAACGTTAAAGAATATTCATAATTAATTCCTCATAATTTTTTAAGTCCGGGGGCATGTTAACGCTTCATTCCCAACCCTGGTATAATTATTATATTTTATTACCTTCATGCAGGATGGCGATAATAAACCCTCATCCCTTATTATATAATTTAAAACGATAAAATAATCCCTTTCATTGTTACGCATCCCGTCCCAAAATCGATAATAATATCAGTAATCCATTTTTCCTAGAATTTTCATCACCTGTCCCTAACTATATCATCTTTATATTTCCAAGAAACTCGCATTTACGCATACCCAGTTTTAATTCTAAGAATCATGAAATAACCGACCAATACCTGATTGGTTGACAAATGTAACAGCTACTGATTGGATCCAAAATTTTAAGAGAATGTCATTAATTCTACAAAATGGACCAATCAGAAAAATGTATAAAATTGTAAATTCTTTTTAATTTAGTATCAACTTAAATTTCACATAGTTAAGATCAGTCGTAAATTAACACTCAAATCTATAACATCTAATTCAAACATCTATAAGTCTTAATATTTCAAATACAAAATAATTAAACATATATTTATCATCTTTTATTTTTATTATTCAATCGGTCTGATATAGCCAATAACTATATATATCTGGTCCTTCGACAAAGTGCAAGTGGTCAATAGAGTTCGGCAGCATCCTGATAGATCACGAACTTCTTAAACACTTTGAACCTATCTCAACAAATACTTTTTTGGCCATTCAAACCGAATGGTCAATTTTACTAAACATGCTCTGTGTCAAAAGGAGCATCAAGCCATGAATAAAGCATCTCCGAGATATGAAGAACACCGCAAAATAAAAATGACAATGGAAGAAAATAACTTAAGCTACATGGAAGCTAAATATCTAATAAATAATAAATCATATGTCAATGCTGTAGGATTTGAATCTGGAAACAATTCATCATTCCCAAATCTTCCGGCAAAACAAACGCAATACGTCACGGAAACAAATCCGACAAGAATAATTAATAAGCGAACAATAACCGATCAGAAACAAACAAGAATATATATTGCGACTGAGTCAACATCGAAAGATATCACTGAGCGAGAATCAAAGGAAGACTTCCTAAGTAGTGGTAAAATAAGAAGAGACATAATGAACAAATCAAATAGTAAAGTACAACAACAAATACCTCGTAAAAAGACTGACGAAGATGAGTTTCCATTGGAAAAAATTATTTCAAACATAAAATACAAATTTAGAGAAAAGAAAGGTGATTTTTTACAAATTCTGAAGGATATAGCCCAAGACATAGAAAGTAAAATAAATTCATCTACCAGAAACAATAAATGACATTAAAAATCCTTCAATATAATTGTAGATCATTAGTTGCTAATAAAAAAAGGATTGGAATCTTCTTATGGGAAAAGATCATCGCCATAGCCGCTTTTTCTGAAATGTGGTTTAAGCCCAAACTAGAGTACAAATTCAAAGGATGCAAAATATACAGGAAAGACAAATGATGGATACGGCGGCACTGCTATATTAGTAAAAAATAATATAGAATGTGAAAAATATGAAATTATAAATGAAACTGAAAACAATCAAACATACGCAGTGTTAATAAAAACAGGAATACCTTTTTGTTTAATTTAATAAAAAATAAACGCTCTGACGAAAAGACGTTTAAAAAATAAAAAAAGCAAAAATGGATTGAATTCATCAGCTCAATAAATAAAAATTCAGATCCTACTTCAACCAGAGCTGAAATTGAAATTGCATTCTTCACGAAAATTACTTCTTATAGGAGACTTGAATTGTCACCACTTGGCATGGGGTAGCAGCATGATAAACAGAGCTGGTAAAAATTGATACGAAATGATACATAGAAGACTATTCATTAATAATCCTAAATGACGGTCAACCGACTACTATGATCATTGTACTACACTACAAGTATAGATTTATCGCTTTGTTCGAATAATTTCATGAATGCTATCAAAAGGGAAATAAGTACAGAAGCATTGTATTCTGACCACCTTCCAAACATTATAAACATAGATGTGGAATTCCCAACTTACATAAATATTATTCCTACAAAACAGTGAAACACCAAGAAAGCAAACTGGCAAGCATATGCTGACATAACAAGGTTGTTAAAATCGCCTATAATTCAAGACAAGGAAAATTTTAAATACGAAAATGTTATCCGAATTATAGAAACCGCAGCTGAAAAGAATATCAAAAAAATTAAATTAAGATCACAAAAGGAACGTTATTGAAATCCTCCGTGTGGTGGAATCAAGAATGCGACTCATATCTACGCATGCAGTATAACTATGAAAACTAAATCAACTTTCAAAAAATAAACGCTCTGACGAAAAGACTTTTAAAAAATAAAAAAGCAAAAATAGATTGA